TTCTTTTCTTTTTTTTTGATAAAAAATGCTAAAAATTAGTTTAACATTATTATATTTTATATAATTATGCATTAGTATATACTTGCAAATTATTATGTAACTATATATTATATATACATATATTATATGTAAATATATTGTATATATTTATAAGTTATAACTTGAGAGAGAGAGAATCGCATAAGTAGTCGTTGCATGTTGGGCCAATGAGGAAGAAGTAACCGTTGTAAAATACTATACTTATATATACTTATATACTAAGAGAGAGAGTACACACACACACACACACACACACACACACACACACACACACACACACACATAATATATATATATGAGAGTATACTTATATAAGAGGGAGTATGCATATATAAGAGAGAGTATACTTATATATACATATATACTAAGAGAGAGAGAGAGTATATATATATATACACACACATATATTATACATATATAAGAGAGTGTATACTTATATATACATATATACTAAGAGAGAGAGAGAGAGAGTATATATATATATATATATATATACACACATATATATTATACATATATAAGAGAGTGTATACTTATATATACTTATATAAGAGAGAGTATATATATACATACATACATACATACTTATATATTTATATACTAAGAGAGAGAGTATATATATACATACATACATACATACATCTACTTCTTTATTACTAAAGGAGAACAACAAAAAAGTTATAATGAACAGTAACATAAGGTTTTTTGATTAACAATGTTTACGTGCCTAAGTTTAAATAACCGACTACAAAAATGTAAACAGAGTTTTTGAATTTTTTTTTGAAAAAGTTCCAACTCATCTTCGTACTCTCTCTCTCTCCAAACTTTAGTTTCTACAACCCCACGTTCTCCTTGAATAAAGGCAAGCACCCCACGAATCTCTCTCTTCCTCTCTCAATATTTCTTCAGAAAAGATACAGAAAATCAAAAAAAAAAAAAAAAAATTTTGAAAGAGATGAAAGCGAATTTCCTTCCCTTCCCCTTCCTCCCCTCTCTGCCCTCTCCTCGAACACAACGAGGTCTCCGTCCCCATCTCCCCCTCCCTCCCCATCTCTTCATCTTCAGCGACCGCCACCTAGTCTTCGCGAAAACACCTCTCTCTTCCCTCCTCCCGCCTCCCCATCATGGTGCGCTGTCGATCCTCCCCCCTCTTCCAAATTCTTCGGGTCCCACCGTGATTCTCAGGATCTTTGGCGTGACTAAAGAAAGTTCAATGGTTTACTGGATCTCAGGACCTAGATTTGGAGTTGTTGGAATGGTTCAATTTTTGAGACATACTGTAATGTGGGAGTTTGGCGTGTAGATCTGGGATTTCTCCCTCAAATTTGTGGGGTTTTGATGATTTTACTTTTTTATCTCGATTTTTATGCTGCAAATTACTCTATGTTTCTAGGGATTGAGAAGGGCGCGGTCCTGCAAGAAGCTTGGGTATTCCATGATCCTTAACTAGATGTAAGGAGATGCTCTTAGGTCAATGATTTACATGATTCACTCTTTTGGCCTTGATCTGTTCATTCAATATCTTAATTTATTTTTTCTATGTTATTTCATCCAGGTTATAACAAAATTATTGTATCTATTAAATCAAGGAGAAACTTTCACCAAGGTTAGTTCCTGACCTCGCTGCATTTTGTATAGACAGACTATGCAGTAAACTCTAATTTTGAACCAAAATGTTATAGGTTGAGGTGACAAAGGTGTTTTTTTGCCGTGACGAAATTGTTTCAGACGAAGGATACTGGGTTAAGGAGAATGGTTTATTTAATCATCAAAAGAGCTTTCACCTTCTGCTGATGAGGTTAGACAGACTATGTAGTTTTTCCTTCTCCTCTCCAACGCTTATCGAAGTATCTGCAGTTCCAAAAATCCCATCAAGAACATGAAATATCTCTCAAAGATCAAGTAGGTATTTCAAAGTTTGCCTTTTTTGATGCAATTGGTTGATTTGAGTTAAAATATTTTTCGTTGTAGGAGTGTGGGGAAGTGGATATTGAGGATTATGAAGGGTTTTTCCCCTGATTCTCCCGCTCCTTTGGAGGTTTCACTGTCAAAGGGTAAACACTTATACCTTTTTTTTAGTTTTCCCATTTATTTAATGATTTCTATTACTATTTTTTATTCTGTTTTTTATTTATGCAAAATTTTGAGTTGTTATGATAATTATAAAACTATCATAACCACATGTATATTGTTTATTCCCTTTAATTATGAAACTAATAATGTTATTTGTATTTGCAGTTTCATAACCACATGTATATTGTTTATTCCCTTTAATTATGAAACTAATAATGTTATTTGTATTTGCAGTTATACGCGGTGTTCAATTGTAAAAATTCTTTATTAACATTTTTATGTAAGTTTTTGGAGGAATCTTTTTAATCAAAGTTTTATGCTCGAAAAAATTGTCTATTTTGTTGAAGCAACATTCAAAAGGCTCACTGCGTGTAAGAAACATGCATAAAAATGCTATGGCAATTGTATTTGCAGTTATACAATTAAATATTTTTATGCGAAACTAAATATGAATAATTGTACAGCCTTTTAGCTTTATAACATGTCATACATATGAATGCAATTCTCAAAACAACCTTTTAGCTTTCTCTCAAAGATTTTAGGAATTTTTCATATGGTACAATAGATTTATATTGATCTTACTTTTGATTATTAATAAGCACACCATCCTAATTAGGATCTGAAAATCAAACCGCGAAAATGAATAGACGCTTTTCTATATAATTTAGTAAATATTTGCTCAATTTTCCACACAATTGACTGACTCCACTTCTTAAACTTCAGCGTTTTAACTTCCCTAGCCCTAGAACCCAATTTTTACCTATTTATATGGACTCCACTTCTTAAACTTCAGCGTTTTAACTTCCCTAGCCCTAGAACCCAATTTTTACCTATTTATATGAGTAGCATTTGTAAATAAAAATTTATATAAGTAATATTTGCAATAAGTTCAATTAATAGGACCACCGAATCGACAGTTAATGAACTTTCAAACATACATTTGGTTAAATTATATTAAAAAGTTATTGAATCGAATAATTAATGAACTACCGGATCAAACATACTTTTGGTTAAATTCTATTCATTTATAAGCCAAACACCAAAAATTATTTGTTTAGTACTAAATGAACTATTGAATCAAAATTGATCGAATATTTGAACAAAAAAAAAAGCAAATAGCACCCCTATACTTCATATCTAAAGCGGAATACTTTATTTTGATAACATGTTTAATATTTACAGAAAATCTTTTAGAAACCGTGCATATCTAAAGCGGAATACTTTATTTTGATAACATGTTTAATATTTACAGAAAATCTTTTAGAAACCGTGCTTTGCACGGGTCTAAATACTAGTTATACATATATAAGAAAGAGTATTCTTATATATACTTATATAAGAGAAAGTATACTTATATATACTTATACATATATATACTTATATAAGAGAGAGTATATTTATATATACTTATATACTAAGAGAGAGTATATATGAAATATATTATATATACATATATTATATATATACATATATTATACATATATAAAAATATATTATATATTTATATATTATACATATTATATATATTTATATATACATATATTATACATATATAATCTATACTACTTCTAAAAGAGAAAATAACTTTCAAAACTTTTGTATACCTATTTTACCCCTTTCAAATTGCTTAATTCTAATTTTATCCCATTATTCATGTCTTTAACTAGAAAAAATCCTTTCCTCTGCTGCTCCAACCCCCCTGCCTCTTCACATCCAATTCTTCCATTTCTCAACCACTGAGAAACGGATGAATCCCCTGCCTCCTCATCCTTCCTGCCCTCCTCTCCCTCATTTAACCGTACTATCCTCT